ATTTTGTAATTTGGAAACTTTTTGTACTGTGCAATCTGGAGTGGGTTTTGAATTTTATAATTCAAACGTCATTTTTTTCATAAAGAAATGCTTTTAGATTATATAGTTTGGAAGCAATTTTTGGATTTTAGATTATATAATCTGAAATTTAGTTTTGCATAAAAAGTGATTTTGGATTGTATAATTTTGAAATAATTTTTTCATAAAAGAGTCTCAGATTGTGTAATTAAGAAATGTTTTTTGTGATTGTGAAATTTGGAAGTAATTTTTAAATTGTGAAATCTAGAAGTTGTTTTTGAATTTTATAAGGTAAAAGTCATTGTTGAGAATAAAAAGTTTTCATTATAATTTTTTTATCGGTAAAAAATAAATAAATATAAAATAGAACACTTGAGCTTTTCTAATCCTTTTAAAAAAAAAAATACAAGATATCATCCTTCTTATGTTTCCCATTTTTATGGTACCTTATATTTGTAGCATACAAACTAATGAATTGCACCAGCTGGAGGGGATTCGGTCTATGTCAAATGGTGCATGAAAGCATCTTCCTGCACGAACAATTTTTTCGCTCCTTGCCATCACATATAACAACTTCGCCCTGCGTAGACTAGTATTTTGGGTGGCTTATCTGGACTGATTTAACCCCATTTCATTAACAGCAAGCCTTGACACAAACAACATAGATAGTCAGTGCATCCAAATTGTGTTTTTCTTACAAAATAGCATAACAATTGTTTTTCTGTAAAAACAACATAGATAGCTCTGTACAAACAATATCAAGAAACAACTCTGTTTTCTTACAAAATAGCATAACAACATAGATAGTGAGTACATCCAAATAATATTACTCCTGCTCATTGAAGCAGAAATACAAACTACTTGCAATCAAATGTTGTGTTAGTTATAATTTAGATATTATTATAACTTGTGTAAATTTGTAAAGCTGTCATTTCTTTAATAGATCAGAATTATTCTTTAAACCTTTTTTGCATGGTATCAAGAGCCAAACAACGATATCCTTTACAATATAGAAATCAATGCTTCTTTTTTTATTGTATATTTCTGATGACTTCTTATGATAAAATCAATAGGAAAAACATGATTTTTGGACTTCCGTTGCTACCCATATGCATGAATCGCTCACCTCTGAACGACTTGACGACACCAACTATGTTGAGTGGTCGTTGAACACACAAAAAAAGATCAGAGGCAAAAAACGTTGGGGTTACATATCTAGAGCAAAGGCTGCACTAGAAAACAACAAATTTGATGAATACGAAGAATGGGAAGATGAAAACTGCCTAGTCAAGTTTTGGCTTCTAGACTCCATGACGAAAGAAATCAGATCCCTCTTTATTTGCTTAGCTATGACAAAGGACATTTGGGACATTGTGCAACAAACATACTCGGTCAACCAGGATGCGTTCCGATCATATCAATTATATCGTGAGATAATCTCTACTCAGCAAAGTATTGTAATAATTAATATATCTATGTTGTAATAATATTCACGAGTAGTTTCAAAACAAAGTAAATTTTAGAAGGTCTTGCGACATCATAATTTTTCATATAAAATTAAATTATTCAATATCTAATATAAATTCATAACAATATTATTGTACACTAAAATTATTGTTAACAAAAAATGTATTTATTTAGATAAATGTAAAGAAAAAATATTTAACTTGCATAATATAAAAGGTGATGATTTATTCATTTTCAATTTTTGTATTTATTTATTTTCTTAACGAACATTTTGGTCTGATTTTAGATTCACTCTCCATAAGTTTTTTTATTGTTGTTGAACTCAAATTGACTCTTGGTTTACAACATGTTTTCTAAATTAGTAGACTGCATTTTCTTAATGTATTATTAGTAACAATATTTATTATGTCAAACAATGCATCAACCAAACACTATAACATAAATAACACAAGAGATTTTATACTGGTTCGCTCCAATTGAGCTACGTCTAGTGTCCTTTGCATAGGGTTCCACTATAATCTTCACACAATTAAAAATGAGTATTAGCACCACTCCTAGTGCTCAACTACATAGTTGAGATTTCCTTTGAGTATTAGCACCACTCCTGGTACTTAACACCCTTACCGAGATTTCCTTTGAGTATTTGCACCACTCTTGGTACTTAGCAACCTTAGTTGAGATTTACTTTGAGTATTCAAACCACTCCTGGTACTCAATAATCTTAGCCGAGATTTCCTTTTAGTATTTGAACCACTCCTGGTACTAGAATATCGTGCCTAGATTCCTCAACTCAAACAGAGTTCAGTTGTAGGTATTTTAATTCTCTTCAGAATTTCAATCAATGATTGCTTACAAGTAGTTTAGACAAAATTTCTTACAGAGAGGATTGATTTCAATACAATGTATTCTAAACACTTGCAAGTGTTTCTCTATTCTCTCTTACAATAGTAAGAAATTGGAAGCTTAAGCTCGAGAGTATATCTTTCTCTTTTTCTCTTCTCTTCTCTTTTCTTCAGTTCAGATGTATTTTTTTCTTTGAGCTCTTTCTCTCTTTCTCTCTTCAGGATAGATATATCATTGTAAGCTCTACTTATGCTCTTATATCCTCTTTATTTTCTTTTTGAGAGATCTTTAATTTATAGACTTCATGGATATATGTCCGTTATACTGGATTTGTAATTGATAGTCTCGATACTTGTAATTTCTCTTCTTCTTTTCACAGTAGTCATTGTGTAAGCTAACTTTGTGAGAGCATACATGCTTCTTCAGTTCTTTTCTTGAAGTAGGTTGTACGATTTTTTTAGACTTTGCTTCAAGTGAGGAACATTCTGTGAATATCTTCTTTGTCTCTAACGTCCACTTTTTGATTTTTGTTTTGTAGCACTGTCTCTAACAACAAAATGCTTTTGATTGTGCTCTTTTTCACAATGGATTAGCATGATATGTACTTCATCGTAAGACGAGGTATTTGTTAAGCTCATGGTATCAGCTTGATCAAGTAAACACTTCTTTATATTTTGTCTTTGGTTAGATAACATTTAGCATTTTTAGGTTTTTCTTATATTTTAACAATTTAGTCTTTTAAAAGGTTTTGTCAGAGACATTGTCTCGACCCATTTTTGTTTTCGAGAGATGCTGAATACCTACTCAAGGTATTATAAGTATTGAGCATTTAACTCAATCTCTCTTGTATGCTTTTAGACAAGACATCATGCATCTAAGCGTTTAGGTCTTTTAGCCTATATGTTTTTGTATTTCTAAGTGTTTTCCTAGGTACTTTTCTATTCCTAAGACCTAAGTGTTTTCCTAGATGTTTTTCTATATTTGGAGTTCAGGTGGTTTAGGCTCTAAGTCTCGTGTTATTACCATATGTTATTTTCTGGTTGTTAATCTGTTTTAATGTTATTTGATTAAATTTCAAAACGTGAAAACATTTGGTAGTATAGACAATTTTGTCATTAATAAAAACGTCTAATGTAAATTTGTTTATATTTTTTCATGAAACCCCTTTCTTCGTCACTTCTCCCTTGTGTTTCAAACATTTTGGCTATATGCTCTGGTTGTGGCCCTAGCTAGTGTGTACTTAGGTACAATGGTGATCTAAAATGCATTTATCTTTCATTTTAGCGTTCGGTGAGGTAGACATTTATGTTTGATTAGATTATAAATTAATTATTTTAGGTTAGTGATCAAAACCATTATTTCATCTTTTAAATCAACATTGTGGTTGTTTTTTTTCTAAATCATGATAGTGTATAAATGTTTTTATTGGATTGTTGTGTCTTTGATAATGTGTTATATAGATACTTAAATTTGATATTATGAATATCAAAGTTAATTCTTAAAATTAAGTTAAATAAATAATTGTAATTAGATTTTTATAATTTAAATTCAAAATATATGACAATAAACATTGCACGGACTACTTAGTTATTTAAGTCAAGGAAAATTATTAAATCATTACTTTGTTTACAAAGTATTGTAGTAATTAATATATCATGTTGTAAGAATATTCACGAGTAGTTTTAAAACAAAATAAATTTTAGAAGGTTATAATTTTTCATATAAAATTAAATTATTTAATATTTATATAAATCCATAACAATATTATTGTACACTAAAATTATTGTTAACAAAAAATGTATTCATTTAGATAGATGTAAAGAAGAAATATTTAACTTCCATAATATAAAAGATGATGATTTATTCCTTCTCAGTTTTTGTATTTATTTAATGTAAATTTTGGTCTGATTTTAAATTCACTCTATATATAAGTCTTTTTATTGTTGTTGAACTCAAATTGACACTTGGTTCATAACATCTTTTCTAAATTAGTAGACTGCATTTTGCATTTTGTTAGTGTATTATTAGGATAACGATATTTATAATCAACCAAACACTATAACACAAATAACACCATCATAAATTAAGTTGGGCGTTAAAAGTAAAATAACATTAATACACAAAGTAATAATTGGAAACTGATATTTGTGTATTACAACTATCTTTCAAATTAAATATGAAAAACTTAATTTTAGCAATAATACATTAAGATAATTAATTTTTTAAAAGGATATAGAATCTAACAAAACATTTATTTACTAATGAATACAAGAAGTGCACAAGATTTATATAAGAAGTGTACAAGATTTATCGTAAGTTTATCTATATAACTTTTACAAAAGTTAATTATATGAATATCTAGATGTGTGTAATAAAAACAATAGCTTGCATAATACAAAGAGAAAATTTATTCATTTTCAGTTTATATTTATTTCTTTTTCTTCATCTTCACTTTGATGAGATTTACAATTAACTCAAGTATTTTTGATATTAATCGATTCAAATTGGCACTTAGTTCACAAAATATTTATTCACAATCATAAACCAAGTAGTTGATTAAAATTAAAACAACATTAGTATACATAGTGATGATCTAGAATTGGTATTAATGTATTGTAATTATACGATAAATTATATAAGTCATTACATAAAGATAAATTACTAGTTTTACATCAAATTTCCTTCAAATATTTGTTTGGTATTTGTTCTGCCAAGTGAATGTAGAAATGTCCCATAGCTCCAGTGCGAAACTTGTTTTCATATATGGATTCCAGTGTTAGAATTTCTCCATCTTCAATCTTGATGGAACCAGGTTTGGGATAACAAATTGACATTCCAACTAGGTAACCCTTTTCATTTCCTGCTTCTTTTCCAGTTCCGTATTTTGGATTTGAAGTGCATAAAACCCTTCCATCCTAAGTTAAGCATCATCATAAATATAAAGATGATTCAATAAACTAATTAACTTCTTATAAAGATATATAAATATCAACAAAATTTATTCCTAATGAATATATGAATTACACAAAAGTTAATGTAAGTTTATCTACATGATATAACTTATATGGGAACAACAAATATCAAACATTACCTGTCCATATAGAGTAGCATTGACAACACCAGTGTGCATATGTGCAGTGCCATATATAAGATAACCACCTTTTGTCATTGGGATGTCTGCTTTCTTAACATGAGGGAAGTTGCTGTCATGATTTCTCGGGATCGTATACTCTGCCTATAACAAATTTACGAATTTATTTTACTCACATATCGACCAAAAAAGTAATTAATACCCTAATAGTTTTGTTTTGAAAATAAATAATTTTCTAATGTTTGCTTATAATTTTTAAAGTATATTATGTATTGAACAAATCATCTACCTGACAATCATGAATTGGTGTAGAACCATTTGATCTTACACGATCAGTTGAATCAAGTATGTAGAACTTAAGAGGCACTTGGTGTTCATCCCAATCAACCCACCTTATTTTGTATCTTAGGGAAAGATTTCTTGTTGGGCCACGAAAACCATTTCTTAATTTGCATTGTATGTTATCTTGACAACAAAAGAGTCCTCCTTTATAATTTTTAGATAACAATTGACCATTAATGCCTGTTGTGACATTGTAAAAGTCCTTTGGAAGATTCATAAGCTTACACCTACACTCTGTACAACCTTTTCTATCATGTGTTCCACGTGTATCAATAACCATGATGCTAAACAACCATTTTTCTTTAAACCCACACTTTATTTTTGCAGCATTACCTAATTCAACTGCAAAAGACTCTGGAAGATTTGATTGTGTTCCTCGTGATTCTCCTCCCAAGCCCCAATAATGNACAATGCATCAACCAAACACTATAACATAAATAACACAAGAGATTTTATACTGGTTCGCTCCAATTGAGCTACGTCTAGTGTCCTTTGCATAGGGTTCCACTATAATCTTCACACAATTAAAAATGAGTATTAGCACCACTCCTAGTGCTCAACTACATAGTTGAGATTTCCTTTGAGTATTAGCACCACTCCTGGTACTTAACACCCTTACCGAGATTTCCTTTGAGTATTTGCACCACTCTTGGTACTTAGCAACCTTAGTTGAGATTTACTTTGAGTATTCAAACCACTCCTGGTACTCAATAATCTTAGCCGAGATTTCCTTTTAGTATTTGAACCACTCCTGGTACTAGAATATCGTGCCTAGATTCCTCAACTCAAACAGAGTTCAGTTGTAGGTATTTTAATTCTCTTCAGAATTTCAATCAATGATTGCTTACAAGTAGTTTAGACAAAATTTCTTACAGAGAGGATTGATTTCAATACAATGTATTCTAAACACTTGCAAGTGTTTCTCTATTCTCTCTTACAATAGTAAGAAATTGGAAGCTTAAGCTCGAGAGTATATCTTTCTCTTTTTCTCTTCTCTTCTCTTTTCTTCAGTTCAGATGTATTTTTTTCTTTGAGCTCTTTCTCTCTTTCTCTCTTCAGGATAGATATATCATTGTAAGCTCTACTTATGCTCTTATATCCTCTTTATTTTCTTTTTGAGAGATCTTTAATTTATAGACTTCATGGATATATGTCCGTTATACTGGATTTGTAATTGATAGTCTCGATACTTGTAATTTCTCTTCTTCTTTTCACAGTAGTCATTGTGTAAGCTAACTTTGTGAGAGCATACATGCTTCTTCAGTTCTTTTCTTGAAGTAGGTTGTACGATTTTTTTAGACTTTGCTTCAAGTGAGGAACATTCTGTGAATATCTTCTTTGTCTCTAACGTCCACTTTTTGATTTTTGTTTTGTAGCACTGTCTCTAACAACAAAATGCTTTTGATTGTGCTCTTTTTCACAATGGATTAGCATGATATGTACTTCATCGTAAGACGAGGTATTTGTTAAGCTCATGGTATCAGCTTGATCAAGTAAACACTTCTTTATATTTTGTCTTTGGTTAGATAACATTTAGCATTTTTAGGTTTTTCTTATATTTTAACAATTTAGTCTTTTAAAAGGTTTTGTCAGAGACATTGTCTCGACCCATTTTTGTTTTCGAGAGATGCTGAATACCTACTCAAGGTATTATAAGTATTGAGCATTTAACTCAATCTCTCTTGTATGCTTTTAGACAAGACATCATGCATCTAAGCGTTTAGGTCTTTTAGCCTATATGTTTTTGTATTTCTAAGTGTTTTCCTAGGTACTTTTCTATTCCTAAGACCTAAGTGTTTTCCTAGATGTTTTTCTATATTTGGAGTTCAGGTGGTTTAGGCTCTAAGTCTCGTGTTATTACCATATGTTATTTTCTGGTTGTTAATCTGTTTTAATGTTATTTGATTAAATTTCAAAACGTGAAAACATTTGGTAGTATAGACAATTTTGTCATTAATAAAAACGTCTAATGTAAATTTGTTTATATTTTTTCATGAAACCCCTTTCTTCGTCACTTCTCCCTTGTGTTTCAAACATTTTGGCTATATGCTCTGGTTGTGGCCCTAGCTAGTGTGTACTTAGGTACAATGGTGATCTAAAATGCATTTATCTTTCATTTTAGCGTTCGGTGAGGTAGACATTTATGTTTGATTAGATTATAAATTAATTATTTTAGGTTAGTGATCAAAACCATTATTTCATCTTTTAAATCAACATTGTGGTTGTTTTTTTTCTAAATCATGATAGTGTATAAATGTTTTTATTGGATTGTTGTGTCTTTGATAATGTGTTATATAGATACTTAAATTTGATATTATGAATATCAAAGTTAATTCTTAAAATTAAGTTAAATAAATAATTGTAATTAGATTTTTATAATTTAAATTCAAAATATATGACAATAAACATTGCACGGACTACTTAGTTATTTAAGTCAAGGAAAATTATTAAATCATTACTTTGTTTACAAAGTATTGTAGTAATTAATATATCATGTTGTAAGAATATTCACGAGTAGTTTTAAAACAAAATAAATTTTAGAAGGTTATAATTTTTCATATAAAATTAAATTATTTAATATTTATATAAATCCATAACAATATTATTGTACACTAAAATTATTGTTAACAAAAAATGTATTCATTTAGATAGATGTAAAGAAGAAATATTTAACTTCCATAATATAAAAGATGATGATTTATTCCTTCTCAGTTTTTGTATTTATTTAATGTAAATTTTGGTCTGATTTTAAATTCACTCTATATATAAGTCTTTTTATTGTTGTTGAACTCAAATTGACACTTGGTTCATAACATCTTTTCTAAATTAGTAGACTGCATTTTGCATTTTGTTAGTGTATTATTAGGATAACGATATTTATAATCAACCAAACACTATAACACAAATAACACCATCATAAATTAAGTTGGGCGTTAAAAGTAAAATAACATTAATACACAAAGTAATAATTGGAAACTGATATTTGTGTATTACAACTATCTTTCAAATTAAATATGAAAAACTTAATTTTAGCAATAATACATTAAGATAATTAATTTTTTAAAAGGATATAGAATCTAACAAAACATTTATTTACTAATGAATACAAGAAGTGCACAAGATTTATATAAGAAGTGTACAAGATTTATCGTAAGTTTATCTATATAACTTTTACAAAAGTTAATTATATGAATATCTAGATGTGTGTAATAAAAACAATAGCTTGCATAATACAAAGAGAAAATTTATTCATTTTCAGTTTATATTTATTTCTTTTTCTTCATCTTCACTTTGATGAGATTTACAATTAACTCAAGTATTTTTGATATTAATCGATTCAAATTGGCACTTAGTTCACAAAATATTTATTCACAATCATAAACCAAGTAGTTGATTAAAATTAAAACAACATTAGTATACATAGTGATGATCTAGAATTGGTATTAATGTATTGTAATTATACGATAAATTATATAAGTCATTACATAAAGATAAATTACTAGTTTTACATCAAATTTCCTTCAAATATTTGTTTGGTATTTGTTCTGCCAAGTGAATGTAGAAATGTCCCATAGCTCCAGTGCGAAACTTGTTTTCATATATGGATTCCAGTGTTAGAATTTCTCCATCTTCAATCTTGATGGAACCAGGTTTGGGATAACAAATTGACATTCCAACTAGGTAACCCTTTTCATTTCCTGCTTCTTTTCCAGTTCCGTATTTTGGATTTGAAGTGCATAAAACCCTTCCATCCTAAGTTAAGCATCATCATAAATATAAAGATGATTCAATAAACTAATTAACTTCTTATAAAGATATATAAATATCAACAAAATTTATTCCTAATGAATATATGAATTACACAAAAGTTAATGTAAGTTTATCTACATGATATAACTTATATGGGAACAACAAATATCAAACATTACCTGTCCATATAGAGTAGCATTGACAACACCAGTGTGCATATGTGCAGTGCCATATATAAGATAACCACCTTTTGTCATTGGGATGTCTGCTTTCTTAACATGAGGGAAGTTGCTGTCATGATTTCTCGGGATCGTATACTCTGCCTATAACAAATTTACGAATTTATTTTACTCACATATCGACCAAAAAAGTAATTAATACCCTAATAGTTTTGTTTTGAAAATAAATAATTTTCTAATGTTTGCTTATAATTTTTAAAGTATATTATGTATTGAACAAATCATCTACCTGACAATCATGAATTGGTGTAGAACCATTTGATCTTACACGATCAGTTGAATCAAGTATGTAGAACTTAAGAGGCACTTGGTGTTCATCCCAATCAACCCACCTTATTTTGTATCTTAGGGAAAGATTTCTTGTTGGGCCACGAAAACCATTTCTTAATTTGCATTGTATGTTATCTTGACAACAAAAGAGTCCTCCTTTATAATTTTTAGATAACAATTGACCATTAATGCCTGTTGTGACATTGTAAAAGTCCTTTGGAAGATTCATAAGCTTACACCTACACTCTGTACAACCTTTTCTATCATGTGTTCCACGTGTATCAATAACCATGATGCTAAACAACCATTTTTCTTTAAACCCACACTTTATTTTTGCAGCATTACCTAATTCAACTGCAAAAGACTCTGGAAGATTTGATTGTGTTCCTCGTGATTCTCCTCCCAAGCCCCAATAATGTGGAAGCAAAAAACCTTGGCATGCACCATCATTTCTTTCAAATTCGATACCATTGCGAAGGTCATGAGATTGTTTAATGTAGGGTGACATGGTAATGTTTTCAATATATTTTACAGCAAACCAATGATGAAGGTAAGTTTCATACAAAGGTACTGAATTACCAACTTCATCAACTACTTCAACATCAAAACTCTTGACCCCAATGTGACCCCTTGGAAATTCAATATCTAATAATGTTTTCACCGCAATTTTTCCAGGTCCCACTTCAAATTTTTCAGAAAAAAAAGTAGCTGACTTTATATGATTTTCACCAGACTCCAAAACAACTGAGTGAGTTGTTTCAGAAAGCAACATCATTATTGATAATAAAATCATAGCTACTTTAGAGATACTCCTCATATTAACCTACACAGAAATCAATGCCATTAGCCATGAAAATATGTATATAGGATAATTCATTTGATAATCATGTAGATAACTTAAAACATAACGAGAAAATATGAATTTGATAAGATTGAAATTAAAATGTGAAGTAATAGAAAATTAATGATAAAAAGTGCATACCTTATAAGAAAAAGATAATTTGTTGATCATGATTTCTTATTGGATGAAGATTATGATTATTTAAATTTTAAACCGAGTAAATTTATAGTTATAGGAAATTAGTTACTAGTGTTATATATAGTGGATCACTATATAATGATATATTTGGCATAACTAAATTTTAAATTGATGTTGGTTGTCAATTTTTCATTACATGTATAGGGTGTTTGGTAAGGTATTTAAACCTAATTTAACATGTATTGACCTAGTTTTAGACGTTACAAAACTATTTGGAAACTTTTGTAACTTTGTTTAGACGTGAAAACAACTTCATTAGTGATTTGTTTAGGCAAACTTGATATGATTTCACTTTTATAGGTTTTTCTTTTTCTTAAATAATAGAAATTACTTATTTTATGACAACAAATTTTTATCTTAAATTATGCTTAAAAGATGAAAATAAAAAATATCAATCATATAAATTTAACAAAAAACGTTTATTCAAATAAACTTATAAGAAAGAGACACAAAATATAATTTCAATAACATTATTTAATGATACTTTAATAGAATATATAAAGGAGAATTTTGTACATGACAATAATTAATATATATAGAGGTTGAGAGTTCATTGCATGTGCTTGATATTTTTTTTTATTATTCATAGTATTTAATTAAGACATAAAATAATGTTTTTATATGATTTATAAATATTTTACCTACCTCTAAATTTATACAAGTTAAATATATTTTAAGATTATACTTTAAAACTTGATTATTGAATTGTTGTGGTCCTGAATCATAAACTACTAGAAACAAAGATGTTATAGAGCAACTATTACCAATAACATAACTTAGCTTTTTTAACCAAAATGAACAAGTAATACAACACACAACAATAGTGTTAGCATACAGATGAATCTTAAAAGTTTTGATGATGTCTTAAAATCAAGTTTCAAGTGCTTTTGTTGCAAGAAGATCTTCATGAAAACTTGTTTTATGTT